GCACCGACACACGCCTAAACACACACACACACATATATATGTATATATATTCTTGTTGAGCATTTCATAAGTGCAGTTACAATACTTGAATATTTCAATTTGAAATTCCTTGGCGCTGTTAAGGCAAATACACATTATTCATTTCTCTCGCTTGGCAAAAGTTTTGCTGATTCATTTTGCTCCGCTTTGGTATTTGCTAAATTCATTTAGTTTTCACAGACCTGCAGCTCGCATGGGCTGCTGTCCCTGGATAACCTTAAGGCAGCCATAGGCTGCTTGACATTAAGCAATGTAGGTGTCTGCATATATGTGTGTGGGTGTGAGTGTGTGTGTCAGCAGGATATGTGCCGGCACGTCCGATGTTAACGCCCTTCAGACTGACAGTTGTTACAACAGACAGGCTTACAGCCAGCATGCCGTGGGTCTGACCGAAGGAAAGCCTACAGATTGCTTTCATGTGGCAGATGAAGATTTTTCCCTTTTTTTTTTTTTTTTGGTCCCAACTGATGTACAATCATGCTCGCATAACCTTAAATTGTGGCACAAATATATATATATATATGTTTTTTGAGGACAGTAATTAAATTTGCTGGCACAGATAAAGTTTTCGTTGGAGGCAATTTATTGTAAAACAAAAACAGAACAAAAACATATTGTGCTTTGTGCAATTTCTTATCAGAACATTGGATTTTTATTTATGGCCTCAAATGCTTGAGAAAATCCAATGAATATATTCAAACTTTACATTTGCACATGGTAAAAATATTGTGTTACATTTTATATAATTTGTCCAGTTCAAAAAAGTTTTCATTTTTATGCTTTTTCTATAACTTCAATTGAAATTTCTAGCATATGCAGCTGCAGTGGCTTGGTAAAATGTGGCTGAATTTATAAATAAACAGCAAAAGCTGTATATAATTCTCCACTCAGTTGCTGTTTGGATTATTTGGGCGTGTGTGTGTGTGTGTGTGTGTGTAAGCTTTGTGGAATAAAAGTGGCAAAAACTGCAGGTAATCCGCTTAAATCACAGTCAAAGCTGGAAAAAGTTGAAGAAGCGCTACTGTAAATAATGCAATATGCAATGAAAACTGGGAATAAAATTTCGTTTATATAGCTATATTGTTAGTCTTTTATATTGAGTGCTCAATAATGAAATCATATTCAAGTCTAGAAAATTCGGAATTTATTCGAATGAAATTTCGTAACATTTTTGATTAAAATTAAATTGACTCAAGAGCATCTATATTAAGGCTTCTCTACAATTAATTTAATTCATTTTTTCACTATGAATCGTTTTCTACTCGGTTGATTTAGTGGCTTATTGCATAGAAAGAGGCATACAAAATATTAAAAAAAAAAAAAAAATTAAGAAGCGAAAAGATCTTAATAAAGCACCATAAAATGCCTGCAGCTTCGCGGTTTTCTCGTTGCCTGCACCTGGCCGGCTACCTGCAGCCACTTTCGGCTTGTCAATGATGCCAAGGAAAAGCCTTGAAGCTAAAATGCATTTTCCAAACTCCAGAGCTGCGCAAATTACTTAGATAACAACGAAAATGACTTGACTGCAAAAATATTTATTTATAGCGAGCAGCAGCAGCAGCAGCAGGAGTAGCAGGAGTAGTATTTTGAAGGAAAAAGTGTGCTCTAAACGTGACAGCAAAGTTTTTAAGACGCCTTTTGCATTTCACGTCGCTGACGTTGACTTCAAGTATTTGGCGTAACTTTGAAGTTAGAGGACACTTTTGGATTTTGTGGCTCAAACGAAACCGATTTAGAAGTTCCCCTGTTAGCTGGACCATGACAAAAACCCAACTAGCGCAGAATTAATGACTTGGCCAGAGACAAAAACAGCTTGCTGGCGTCAAGACAAAGGACGGATTTCAAAGATAATTTCTTATATAAGAAGACATTATATGTATACGTCGAGAAGTTGCGTTTCTCCTTACCAGATTTATTTTGCTCGCCAAACTAAACGCTACGCTATGATTACGCAGAAATAAAATGAAACATGGAAGGAAAAACTGAACAAAAGCACAAAAGAAAAGTTTTTTTTTGTTTTTGTGTGTTTTTTTTTTTTTTAGAGTAAATCTGGCAGAAAGAGTAACAGGGGATAAAAACATCGTAAATAGCCTTTATATTCACAATATTCCTAATTTAAATTTTAATTTAAATCTTGCGTTTTAATTCTTTTCTAATTTTGATTATTACTTGGCTCAATTTATTTAGCTGATAAATAATAAGTATGTACTGTAGGAGGTTTTATTCCGTTCTTCATTTAAATTGTTATTTTTTCTCGATCATCGCACCAAATATCGACAGCCTCATCGCCTTCGATATGAATAAGTATCGATAGATGTATGTCTCTTTACGATAGTACTGTTCCCTCTATTCTCTTATTGGCCTACTACAGTATATATGAGTTAGTCGCGTCTATCAAGGGACTTAGCCCTGTCCGCAAGTCCATATCTCAGCATGTTTATATGAATGCATCGACATCTAAACTTATGAGCATCTTTATGTTCACTTCATAACAAGCTTCAATCATAAGTATTTTAAGCTGAGCTTGCGGTACTCTAAATCTGTTTTAAGTAAAGCAAGCTCGCCTTATAATATTATATATATCGGATATTTCAATTCAATCTTCCATAGAGTAAAGCGCAGTCGGTAGTGCATCTTGTACTCCTGCACACCCTCATTACTTATATTTATAGATGTTTACACAAACTTCTTTTCACAAAACTAAATCAGCATTTATTTATTTTTAATTTCGTGCCACCTCAAATGACAGCATTCTCTTGAAAAAAAAAAAAACCTCTTGCCATAATAGCTTATGAATACTTCAGTGCTTTACTCATTTTGATTCGAGACACTTTGTTCGACTGTTTTGGTAAAGTTTTTTTTTTATCTTTGCATGAACTGAAAGAAGTTTGTAAATTGCATTCACCTCACATTAAGCTGCACATCAGGCGTTTTTTAATAAACTTTTGGGCGACATGTTAAGTCTCAGTTGCAGCTGATGCTTCACAATTTGAAGAACCTGAGAGAGTAAGAGAGAGAGTGAGAAAGAGAGAGCGAAAAATCATAAGAAAAAATCCAAACTGAGCCATAACTTTTCATTCTTTTGCTTGACGTTGGCGGGATGCGTTTTTGCAACGAAGACAATATTTTTTTTGTTTTCGCTTTTTTTTCTATTTTGTGAACGACTTTGTTGTTTGTCGCCTGTGGCAAAAGCCTTCAAAGTATCTTACGCTTCCTGGGTTTATAATGAGTTCGGTCTATATGGACCTTTCATTTCAGCACTATGGGTCTATTTCTTCTTTTATTTTCTCTCTCACTTTTGATGCCGTCTTGCAACGACCTGTTTGTGTTTGTGTGTGTGTATGTGTGTGTGCAGAAGCCGTGAAAAATATCTTAACGTGCTGGGCATGCTGACAACTCAAAGAAGGATTTAAAAACTTTTTTTTGCTTGTGTCTCGGTTGCAGTGCACGTGGTGTCACTGCATCAGTTGTTGTTGCTGTTGTTGTTGCCACTTATTCGCATGTCCAGATGCATGAACTCAAAAGACCCGAAAGGCATTCCAAGTGTTTACGATTTCTGCACGAAGCTTAAAGCGCATGAAATACTTTAATTGATATCTTTATCGTGTACTAATTTATTAATATTCCGTTGCAGCATTTAAATTACATATTTTTTTTATCAAGCACATAAATTCATAAGCTGCTTAGCAAAGGAAATCTTTTGGAATTTTCCATGAAAATTTGATTACAGCTTAACGAGGCGAAAATGAATTGTTCTTAAAAAAAAAAGAAAGCAAATAAATGCGCAAAGCAAGCGCTGCGCGTTAAGAGAGCGAAAAGAAGCTATGAATAACGCAACCCTTTTGTGGCCATAAAGTTTATTTCTGGCATTTTATTGCGGCTATTCATACAAATTAATTAGCAACAAATTGCTGTGCCGCTGGTCCTGAGGGATAGCAAATTATTGCCCTGGATTTCAAAATGGTTTCGCCACAACTCTGCGCAAGCTTAAAGAGCTGGAAAATGCGTTTCACCCCTTGCCAGGCATTAATTATAATAGTTTTAAGCCAATGCACTAAGTAGCTGAAAGAAATGAATTTACGAATGCAAGTGCAATTGGAGATGTGTTGCATTGAGAATTTTAATGAGTCGTGACACGAGTGAGGAGCAAAATTAGAGGAAATCAAATAGAATTGAATATCTAATTGGAAATGTGAGACATATAACTTCATACACTTCCAATTAGAGCAACGAATCTATTTGGCAATCATATAGAGTCTCATCTCTAATTGGAAATGTGTAATATATAATTTCATGCTCTTCTAATTAGCGCAACTATTCAACTGGGGGCAAAGCTAATATGAGCTGATACTGTGAAATTAATAGCAGTTTCCCAATTAGAGTTTGCCACCTACTGTAAAAATATCTGAGCTGGTTTGTGTCTTAGCTACACGTATCGTAAATAAATTTTAAGAAATCATATAAATAATACAATGATTACAAATTAAATTTCTACTTATTTTAATTACATAATTTTTATGCACACAATTATTTAAGTCGTGTGCGTAATTTCATATAATTTTCTATTTATCACGTGCGAGCTTTGGGTCGTTCTCTCTCGTTTACATTTTAATTGCCCCGCTTGTAGAATTACGCGCAATGTGCACTGGGCCAGCTGCAGTGTATTTAGTTTCACATTTAAAAATGTAAGTAGCACACACACACACATGTACTCGCTCTCCACACACATATGCTCATTCATGGAGGCACTTTTCCGGGCCACTTGAAGTCATTGCCAGTTGGCCGAGGTGCACTTAAAGTTTCCACCAAGCAAACAAAAAACAAACTAAAATGCCGACTTGAGTCCGTGGAAAATGTGAAAAAATGCGATAAAGCACGTGGAAAGTGCAAAGAATAAAATGTGAAAAATAAGTAAATGAAAAAAAAAAACCGAGAGAAAATGCTGCCTAGTGCTGGGTTTGATTTACAATATTACTTACCCGCTTCACTAAGTTTCGTAGTTCGCTGCATATGGGTGCAGAAGTGCTCGTACTCGCCGCTAGATGGCGCCTGTGTCGATTTCATTGCCTGCATGTGCTTGGTAAAGGCGCCGACAATGGCCGCCATTCGATCGAAGGCAATCACATTGATGTGGCCATTCGGTAAGCTGAAAAAGAGCGAGAGAGAGGGGAATATCACACTTGCTACTATAGTATGCAAAACTGTTAGCAATCTATGTGGCGAGTGCGAGAGGGGATGTGGGGGCATATGCATATGTATAATGTGTGCCGCGGCCGATAAAATATTCCAAAGCTGCAATTTAATGCATATTTCACTCGTCTATGCAAAGTGCTATTAAAATCAGCGACTGCTCGGTAATTGCGGGTTTGATTAGCGTTTCCATCAGCCGATTTATGTGCACACATCAATTGCTTTCAAATGTTGCTCTGTGAATAGTTGAACAGACGGTTTGAGTTACGAGCTTAAGCTTGGGCGGGCATATTAAAGTGAGGCATCTATGAAATGAGTAGGGACTAGAGCTTTCAGTAATGAACTATATAATGTGTTCTGTATACATATGAATAATATAATTCAGGTTCAGAATAGACGCGCTCATTATACATATGAAAATCTCGCCTAGACCTAGAGTAGAATATTTTGAGTCTTTAATTGGAAAGCGGAGATGTAAAGGTGCTTGAAAGGCGTTCGAATGGGGTTTCAGGGAGGGCTTATACTCAAGGTTTTCGGAATCTAAATCTAAATTCAATTGCCATGAGCTACAAAATTATCCAAGGCTATAAATATTGTTTCAAGAATTTATTATGTTTTTATAATCTGCCTAAATTGCTTTTATATAGCATAGATTTTTTTCTTGTTTACAAATTTTAATTTATTTATAGACTTTGTCAGCTTCCACCCCACCTCTTATATTATTTTTAGCAACATTAATTTAGAATTTTTAATGCCTTGTCTCACACATGGCGTATGACAATGTATTTTGCATTCATTTTTAATGCTCGTATAACAATGAATAATTGAAGTGCACAGAGGATATGCGTATACTTGATATGGCTGCACATAAACATGATTTCAGCCGTGTCATTTGCACTTGCGAATGTTTCAAATAATTATTGTTTATTTTGCGCGAGTCTGTGGTTAATTAAATAAAACAGAGACACGCCCGCTGCTCGCACAGAATTCATCAAAATTCGTGCAGGAAACATGGCGTATGCGCAATGCTAATCATATAAAGAGAATTTATTTATTTATTGTCATATTCCTGATAGACTTTTTCAATGAAACGTGACAGGTAAAGTGAATGGCTTAAAATAAAATAAAAATAACAATAAAATGYGGGATCAGAAACTCACCATTGCAAACAGTTTTCCCGTTCGGCCAGCGCCAATTTAACAATATCCGCAAACACTGGAATAACAACCCAATCATTGGGCTTGCCACAAATAGTTGGGGCTGCTGCTGCTGCTGCTGTTGGTGTAGGTGTGGCTGTGGCTGCCTCTAGATTGTTGCTGCTGCTGCTGCTGCCAGCCGTGGGCACCTCTAGCGACGCCTTCTCCAATGACGCTGGCATTGCATTGAAACCGGAAATGCCTGTTATGCCAACTGGCTGCCCACTGGCACTTGTCGATGGCTGCTCAACCAAATCTTCCAGAGCACCGGATGTCGAGGGGATGGAGGGGCTCATTGTTGTTGTTGTCGGTGCTGCTGCTACTTCCACTGCTGCCGATGATGTTGTTGATGAGTTTTTCGCTATCGATGATGATGATGTTGATGATGCGGCCCTAGGCTGCTTATCAGTCTTTAGACTTTGCTGCTGCTCATTTAGAACGATTGCCTGCTTCTGCCATAAATGCCCGTGTCCCTCGGCATGCCGTTGCATGCAATCCAATTGTTGACATGTCACTTGCAATTTGCTCCACTGTAATAAAATGGAAATACGTACAGAAATGAACAGACTTTCTGCGACTCCCACTCTCTCTCCCTCTCCATATATGTGAACATGTGTGTGCGTGTGTATATGTGGTGCTTCATCCAAATGGAAAATATCTTTAATTCGTTTTATTTGCGTTATTCGTGCCTTGTTTCGGGGCGCTGTAAAAGTTTATGGTTTTGTTTTTGTGCGCCGCGCTTTATGTCTGTAATTTGCGCTTAAGCTTTCTATCGCATTTTATGGTGCGACATTTGGCTTTAGATAAGATTTTAATTTGGATATTCTTAAATGGGACAATAATTACAACAAATCTAAACTTTAACTCCAGACACACACACGCAAACACACACATGTGCACACATAAATAAATTATTCCATTTCTATGCTTTGTATTTTGGCAAGACTTTAATATACGACTTAAAGTTTCGGAATAATTTTTATGCTCTATGCTGACATATTTATGGTTATCGCTATTCTGCATTCCTAGTCATAAACATTTCACTGGCCTGCAGAAAATATGTAAAAATAAAATGAAAATAATGCCATACAATGGCACGCCGTTGCACAAGTTATTCCATAGGTCTCTGAATTTATGCAATTCGGTTTAATTTTTATTTTTTTTTTTTTGCTTTCGACCATTCATTTTTTCGTGCGTCCTTTGTGCATTGTGCAATTTACTCTTTTCACGCAGACAAACCAAAGCAAGAAAAAAATATGTGAAAATAAGGAAAAGAGTGGAAGTTAAATCAAAAGAATTCTCAACCTGAATTGTGTAATGAATACAATGAAAATGGCATTTAAAGTATCTAAAGCTGAGGCAAGTGAATTGCCCGAAATTATTATTATTTATTTTTTGTTCAGGGGCCTCAGAGTTACGGCGAATCCATTAACTAATTACAAAAAATTGTTATGAAAACTGGCTTCATTTAGCGAACGCCTGGCCGCAATTGAAGCATTTGCGGGCGACATGCCAAGTAAATAGGAAAATAAAATAGAAAATGGCTAGAGAAATATGTAATTTTGATAAAAATTGTGCCAAAGCAGCGTGGGCGAATACTCGATGTGGTTACGTGGGCTTGGTCTAAAATTTATTCTTTTCATATTTATTTGGCTGTTTGGCTTTTGGGTTTTGGCAGGCCTAAGCAAAGCAAATGGAAATTAAAATTGTTTGATTAAAGTTTGTTATTTCGCACTTTTCGGAAAGTCAAGGTGTGGCCTGAAAGGCTTTTATGTATTTTAAGTTGGAAAGTTATTAACAACATTATGCTGTGCGAGAGCTGTATATGAAATATCTTGTATTTTTAATTGCTGTGGGCTGGGAATGCTTGGCATATCCTTTTCGACATTTTATTATATTTTAGTAATTAAATTCGATTCCTTGTGGCTTTTCCTGAAGGTGTTTTAACTGCGCTTCGATTATATGCTTATACCAAATAGAGTACAAAATCTCTATAAGATTTTTGTTTTCAAAGATGCCACAGTCATTTTATTTCTTAGACCTCATGAAAGAAAGGAGCTGCGCTACGATTAAGCAGACCAAGACTTAATATAAGGAGTAGCTGAAAAAGCTCTCAACAAAATTTGGAAGATGAAAAAAAAAAAAAAAAAAAATTTTAGCAAGCTAATAAAATCTGATGTGGGTTATTATATAATGATATTATATTTGAAAAAATAATATTAATTCTTGAAAAATACTCAAATCTCCTAATCATTTGAGAACAGCTCGTGAAAGAGATACCTCAACATCTTCCATGTATGGAGACATAAAACTAAACTAGAAATTTCAGCTTAGCAAAATCTACTTTCAGCTAAACATCTCACAGTAAAGAGTTCACATCTATATAAATTATTTTATGGCTACCTGCCGACACTTACCGTTATTTTAAGTCTCGCTATGGCAGGTGATTCGAGTGACTCCAAGATGGCCGTGGCGCTGTTGTAATTGCCCACGAGCAGACAGTACTGGGCAACGCCGCTCCAGAGCTCAACCGTACGGCTGCGGTCCTCAATTCCGGTGCACTGCAAATCAAGCTGTTAGATGTTGTTTGTTTGCCTAGGATAGTTTGGGAAGCTCGGACTGGACTTGGACTGGATGACAGCACAATGGCAACTAGGCTGGCCACGTGACTTCACTAAACTTTAACGAGTCACTTACACGACCAACTGACAAACTGTCGATGGCCAAGTTACGAGTGGCATAAATTATATGCCAGCCTCGACCTGCTCAGCTATGCACACAGAGGCGGCGCATGCCTCGCTCCATCAGGGGACACGTATGTGTGTAGCTGTGCATATTTGACAGCGCATGGGATTTTAATTCAATCCGCAGGGTCGACGCTAGCTACCCAAACACCCTCCTCATTCGTTACGAATATGTTAACTTGGGCGCGTGACAAGCACACAGGATATAAGCTGAATACCTCACCTGCAGTATCTCGTTGCAGACGAACAGGCGCAGACGTGCCGACCAGTCCAGATACGTTTCCAGATTACAGGTCTTCTTCGGGTCCTGGACACCCGGTGGTCCGCCCGAGGAGATAGGTTGGTCCCATTTTTTCTGTGCACAAACGATTCGCTGTGTTAATGAGGCTAGTTACGGAAGGTGTGGGTGTGTGCTGTGTGTGTATGTATGGGATTATGCTAATGTGAGTATGCTAGGAGAGTGGGTTAAGCTAGTTAGCTTTGGGAATTAGAGTGCTTGAGGGCTTGAGAGCATGCTGATATGAGGTATAATCTTTTGTATTATTTAATATAATATCTGCATGAATGATTATATGACTGATTCACTAGATTTATTGATTGATTGACATTGTTTTATGAAATAGACCAACTAGTTAACTGATGACCTAACTGATAGACCAGACCTGATAGACCTGACTGATAGATAGACCTGATAGATAGATGATTGTTGTTGATTGATTCATTGATTAACTGCTAGATATAACTGATGTACCAGTTGATTGACTGATTGATAGATTAGTTGACTGATGTCCTACTTAGCTGACTGATTGACTGATAAACCAGCTGATTGATTGACTAATTGGCTGATTGATCTAGTTGGCTGACTGATTGATTGACATACAAATCACACGACTGATTGATTGACTGATAGATAAATTAATTGATGTATTGATTGATAAATCAATTGACTGATGTATTACTTGGATGACTGATTGAATTGTACAATTGATGGGTTGACTGTTTGGGTAATGACTGACTGATTGATTAATGATTGATTAATTGATTGAAATACTTAGTCGTTGTCTGATTGATTATGACTGATTGACTGATTGACCGATAGTAGTTGATTGATTGACTGATAGATGAGTTGTCTAATGTACTAATTAGCGGACGATTAATTAACTGATAGTCTAGTTGATTGATGTATAGCTTATTGATGGCTTCTTACCTGCTTATCCAACAGCACCATGCTGCTGCACTGCACAAACTCCTCTGGGCCAATGTGCTTGGCCAGCTTCTTTTCCAGTCGGCACAATATTTGTGCATATTGAGTGGCTGTGGGGCAGTTGATTGGTGCAACGACCTGCCGTAAAATTGAGTTTAAGTCAACTATATGTAAGTACATACTCATATATCAAGTCAAGTCAAGTCAAGTCAGGCTCACCTTGTCACTGTTGGTCTGGCAGGCACGCAGATCGGCCTCGTGCTGCTCTAAATCAGTCAAACGTTGAAGTAAGGCACTTAGTACTTGGGAGACTATGGCTTCTAAATGTGAATTGGAACATCTACAAACAAACGTAGTGGATGTAATCCATTAGCAGGCGGCTCCACACTCAGATAAACAAATCCTGCTCACCTAGCAACGATATGTTTTACATGATTCATCATGCGCTCGTCACGATAATCGTATGGGAACTTCTGCGTCCACTCGGCCAACAGGGCGACCAACGTCTCCAAACACTTGCCCTCGGCCACCGAGGCCAGCAGTTTGCCGAGCAACTCGTGAGGCCGCATAAACAGACGTGACGACAATAAAAATGAGAACAGAAATTCCTGCAAAAGATAAACACAAGTGCGAGATTAGTAGAACTCAAATAGGGCGACCCACTGAGCCACCACAATTGAGCTGAGGGAGCAAAGTATTCCATTAGCTTCATATGTTGGTTATCGCCCCGACTGTGTGCTGTGGCTTTGCTGCCTTTTCCTAGGGCTGTGCGTTCGCAATTTCATTGCAATGAGCCAATTATTTTTTACTCTTGCTGCTAGTGACTCATTTCCTCTCCACATTTTTGTGGAAGTCCTACTCTTACCTCTTTCGGTCTCTCTTTCTAGTTTTTCTACTTCTCTCTTTCTTTCTATCTTTCTCATCCTGCCAGTTTATTGAATTATTTGCTTATCTTTCTTGGACTACTTTACGGGTTTGAGCACTATCTGCTCTTTGTTTTCAGTTTTCAGCTTCTGTCAAACAAATTCGATTTCAGCTAAACTTTAAGTTTGGGTTGCAGCCTTTGCTTTAAGGCCTTATAATTATAAGAATTTTAAAATGGTAATCATATTAAATGTGAGAAGCCTGGGTAGTTTGCTTTTGTCATAGATTGTATGGGAGCCGCAGAAGCAGTCACGCTCATATTCATTCGGGGTTAGGGTAGATAAAACATTCAAACTTAGTTACATAATCTCGATTTTGATTGTATTTAATAAAGCCGACAAGCCACTTTCTCAGGTAATTTCTTATACTGCGCAAGGGTCTTAGCCTTAATAGATAATTTTAATTATTTAAAAACAATAATACAAATAATAGCAAA